GATAGATAGATAGATAGATGGATAGATAGATAGATAGATAGATAGATAGATAGATAGATAGATAGAAGGATGGATGTAAGGATGGATGGATGGATGGACAACCATGATTCATTACTGTAACTGTTTTGAAACCAGTCTTCTTGTCTCTTTTGTTTTCTCCATCCAGTGGCAGGACCGTATGTTCGCAGAATCCTGTGTGAGGAGCTGGGCTGTCCCGCCAACTCTGCCGTCAACTGTGTCCCGCTGGAGGATTTCGGAGGTCAACGCCCCGACCCTAACCCAACCTACGCTGCAGAACTGGTCGACAGCATGAGAGACGGACAGTATGACTTCGGCGCCGCTTTTGATGGAGACGGGGTTCGTTATTTCTTTTTAATTTTCCTTTTGTTTTTTTTTTTTTAGAATTTGTGCCAAAGTTCAAAGGTCGTAACCTCTGCCTTGCTGCTGGTTTTCTAGGACCGTAACATGATCCTCGGGAAACACGGCTTCTTCGTCACGCCATGTGACTCTGTGGCCGTGATAGCCGACAACATCTTTTGCATCCCGTACTTCCAGCATACAGGGGTGAGAGGTTTCGCTCGCAGCATGCCCACAAGTGCAGCTTTAGACAGGTAAAAGTTTGACCTGGCTTTTACCATTCTACCCACATTGTCTGATTAGGGTTGAAAAAGAAAAACATACTGAGATTTTGAATTGAAATTTAGTTTCTATAACATCGAAGGTCGTGCTTATCTTTATTCTAAACACATCGTCTGTCTTCTTTGAAAAAAGGGAATTGTTCACTGTGTTTCCCCCTACAGGGTAGCCAAGGCAACCAAAATAGAGCTATATGAAACGCCCTCAGGGTGGAAGTTCTTTTCGAACCTCATGGACGCAGGGCGACTGTCTCTCTGTGGAGAGGAAAGCTTTGGTACAGGTACTGTAACACATCAGTAACAATCTGTGACACAACTCTCCAGGGGCAAAGAGAAAAAAAAAAAAAAATCACCCCCATCGTCTTTCAGGTGGAGACCATATTCGAGAGAAAGATGGACTGTGGGCTGTGCTGGCATGGCTTTCCATCTTGGCGCTCCGGAAACAGAGCGTGGAGGATATTTTAAAAGAGCACTGGAGAAAATATGGAAGGAATTATTATACCAGGTAAGTTGAGGACGGGAGACTGCAGGGGGTTCTCAATACCCGGTGCATGGACCTGTAGCAGTCCGTAGGTCATTTGGTACCGGGCCGCAGTGCACGTGTACATGTAAAAATAATCCGTTATTATTTCAAAATAAGATGTCATCCAGACACCGATACTAAAAGAATAAAGACTAAAAGAGGTTTTATTTTGAAAATGTAGTGATTCTTCCACTTCCATTCATCACCGTTAAGACTACATGTAGTCTAAAACCCTCAAAATACAAAAAAATGAAAAAAAATTTGGTAACTGTATACCGTTACTAAAAATGGTAAATGTTTGAATAACAAGTATTTTAAAGACACTTTTGGTGAAGATCTGCGTGATATTGTGATTTATATTATTTTATGCAAGACTGACATCTGGTGGAAAATACACATCACGACACATTTTTTAAAAATCGTCCTCACTACAGTTATAGCAGCAACATTTTTACAGGATAAGGAAAAAAAAATGTAAACACTAATTACTTTTACAGTTAATTATGCGATCGACAAAAAAAGAAGAAATATATGAGCTTACAGCATGTGTCAAACCCAAGGCCCGGGGGCCAAATGTGGGCCACCAAGTCATTTTGTATGGTCCGTGCAGCAGAGATTCTTAATCTGATAAAGTAAAAGCTTTTTTTTCACACAGTAATGAACAATATTTATAACTTGAATAAATAAATAAATAATAATAAATTGCAGAAACATTTATTTATATGTTAAGGAATAGTTATATTTATATAGACTATATAGGAAATATATTTATATAGGAAAATGAGTTTGACAGCCCTGTCCTGCAGTATATTAAAATACAGCTGTGTTTTCCTCCAGGTATGACTATGAAAACATAGACATAGATGCAGCCTGTGAGATGATGGAAGATTTGGAGATCGTGATTACCGAAAAGTCCTTCCTGAAGCAGAGATTCGCTGTGGAAGACAAAATCTACCAGGTGGAAAAGGCCGACAACTTTGAGTACACTGACCCCATAGACAGCACCATCTCCAGGAACCAGGTATGAAATGCTACCGTTTGTTGCTACGGTGCGATTATCTCCGTAGAAAGAATGGAAAGCGCGATGACCTTCTTTTGCGCCGGGGTGGTTTCAACTGCAGGGACTGAGGATTATCTTCTCCGATGGCTCGCGAATAATCTTCCGACTCAGTGGGACAGGTAGGGACGGGGCCACTGTAAGAATCTACATCGACAGCCATGAAAAGAAGATGATCTTTGAAAACACGCAGGTAGCTACAAGAATGTAACAACAAGGCAAAAAAAATGTATAATCTATTTTCTTATTTTCTTAACATTTATCCTGTCACGTGAAGGTGATGCTGGCACCCCTGGCAACCATCGCTTTAAAGATTTCCCAGCTCCATCACAGGACAGGTCGAAGAGGCCCTTCGGTCATCACGTGATCTATCCCATTCATCCACCGTGGCTAATGTATGTGTGTTTACTTTTGTCTATATCATTTTTTTTTTTGTATGAAATGAGCTTAAATTACAACAGGTTTTGCATTTTACGCTGAGTTTTTGCTCCATCTCTGAAGCATTAAAAAAAGACTTTTGAGGTTTTGTTTACTCTGTTTCTCATGATTGAGAAATAGGACTGGTCTTTCATATAAAAAACAAATATATAATTTACATCCAATCAAAAGGGAATTCAGCTTCATCTGCATTGTTTTGTGCTGTCAGCACATTTTTTGTTTTCGTTGGAAGATTTGCTTCAACTGTTGCAAAGTTGTTTTTCAGGAATGGAGAAGGAAATTGTTTTTCAGAAGAAAAAAAAAATAACTGAAGCTTCACATTTTTAGATGGCTCATAACTCCGTGATTATTGAGGGAGATTAAAACGAAACAGTCGAACGACAATGAGAAATTGAAGTCACTCATGAAGGTAATCAAATGGAGAGTGTGGTATAGTTACAATTGTTGGTTATATCATCGCTACTGCCAAAAAAAAAAAAAAAAGTCATATAAGAGCTAATAGGAGAGCAGAGTCTGTATCAGTCGGTATCATTTTTAATCATTTTCCGCAAGAACCTTGATCTTACTGAAACTGTACTGTACAGCGTATTCATCTCAGCACAATGAGACATTTTCAGCTGCAGGAGGTAGCTTTCACAGCTCTGGTGTCCATATGATTTGCTTGTGGAAAGGAGCAGTGTTAATCTGGCCCCCCTGTTCAATTTTAGGACAATTGTGACCTGCGGGTCAAAATGTTTGCCCACGCCTGGTCCAACCTAAGTCCTTGCAGTAAACTATGATTCTGCAAAAGTAGGTATTTTTAGGCCAGTGGGTATTAGTTTTAATTATCACAGTTATTCTTAACATTATTTATATAATTAGAAGGTAGATACATGGGTGGATAACTGTGTTGTTTTAGCCTCATGTGTCTTTTCTTTATATACTTTTGTACAGAAATGAATGTTGTTGTTGTGGTTAGAAAATGTTAACTTTTTATGTTCAACTGTTCTAACAACCTATCAATCTATCTCTGTAGCTGTGTGTATTCATCCCCACATATTTGAAAATTTGAGTTGAAGTGGCTTTTATTTACCAATACAATATCATAATTTACTGCTACTGTTGATGTATAATTAAACTAGAAAGTAAGCTAGCTGTAACCTACAATTCTAGAGTAATAGCATCACAGATAATGTGAACATAAAAGCAACAGCAGAACTACAGACGGTACTTAATAGAGAATGTGGATTCTAGAAGGTTCATAATAAAGCATATGAGTAATAAAAACAAGACGTTCCCATCCAAGGGGTGGTGGTGTTTACTGTAAGCTGCGTTCACACTGCAACAACAAGGAAAAGAAGAAGAAGAAGAAGACGAAGGCTCTGACGCAGGAAACAGGAAGTGGTTTTGTGAAGGAAGCTTGGAGCACATAAACAACACGGACAACACAGCAGAAATATTTATATACATTCGCAACAATGGCCGGAGTCAAAGGTATTTTACACACTCAAATATTGTATTTAGCGCATTTAACCCACTTAGAAGCTTGTTCGATAAACTTGTGTTTTGTCTTCCGCTTTTTAAACTCTTTGTCCTTTGTTTACGCTCTCTTACTCGTCAAGAAAATGAATCTCAAAAACACGTCGAAAGCTAACATTGTCAAGGCGTAAAATTGGTTTTAAGTGGTTAGCAGTTATGTTTTAAAACGTGTATTCAAATTTATTTTTGTTAGATATAATTTGAATATTTGCCAGCAAGAAACCAGTGTTTCTCTTCTTTCAGCACTGCTCGGTTTGTCCTTCAGTGGAGCCATTGGGCTGACGTTTCTTCTGCTTGGCTGTGCCCTGGAACAGTACGGGTATGCAACGACCACGCAAAAAAAAAACACAAAAAAAAAAACCAAAACAACAAAAAAAACACCTAGTCATACATGCAATAAATGTAACGAATCTTAACAGACGGTTGCAAAAACGAAACCCAGTT